GGCCACTGCTGGGGTTCCCATGGGTGCCCGAGAGTCCGAGGAATCCCTTAGTACTCCTATGGCTCTGTAGGATTCCCAAGGATTCGTACGGATTCCTAAGGAATCTTAGGACTCCCTTGGGGCGCATACAAAGCTTCCTGAGGATTCGCGAGATTCTTCAGGATAGAACTCCTAGGGGCAATTAATTCTCGGGAATTCCTACACAGAGCTTCGGAGGAGTCCAGGGACTCCCTTAGGATTCCTATGGCTTTCTAGGGATTCGTAGGATTCCCCCCCAACTCCCTTCGGATTCCTCAGGACTCCTCTTGGATTCCATTAGGATGCCTAGGGATTCCTAGGGAAGTCGTAGGATTCCTCAGGGTTCCTACGGATTGCCAAGGATTCTCGGGATTCCCTGAGGATCCCGACGAATCCAGAGTGATTCGTAGGATTCCCCAAGATCGCATTCCTAAGAATCCATTGGAGTCTTAAGGATTCCTGGGGACAGCTGGGAACAACACCGAGTGGGTGTGTACTACCATCCTAGTCCGAAGATGCTTGCCCAGCGTGCAGGGTCGCTCACGACAGATTACCCGCTGGGAACAACAACCACCCAACAATGCCCGCGAGGCGAACAACAATGCGTGAATAATTACACGCGCGGCAACAATTGAACGAATTCACCGCAACTGAAGCGGGCTCTTACTGCGCACGATTGCATGCGCGATTCCCGCATGAAGGCGACAACAATCACGACGACGACAACAACGAAGGCGACGCGCGTACTCTCGATTCGAAATGCAACGATTCCAGTTCCACTCCCTCTACAAACAAGCTCAACATTCCTCTGTCGTGCAAGGCCGCCTGGCAAGCAATATCCACCCAGCAATACCCAGTACAAACAATACTAGTGTGCACATACTTGCACGCGCGGCAACCACCGAATAAACTCAGCACAACTATGGCGAGATCTTACTGCGCACGTCACTTGCGCACGCCCCATACGAAGACGGCGACGACGACGACCGCGACAACGACGACAAAGATGACACCGACTCGATTGGAGATGTGTCGAATCTGACACCAATGCTTTCACATGGGAGATTAATCACCCTCTCTTGTGCAAAGTAGCCCGGGGGACATTATCCGCTGGAGTGGACAACCACCCAGCACCAACGGACAGGCGAGCAAGAGTGAGCAAATAATCGCTGGCGCCAGCGGACGCGTTCAGAGAAGAGGCAGTTGCTGCACATGCTAGCAGCGTGCGTAGCCATGTAATAGATGCTCTAGATGCTAGCAGGATGCGTATGTGCATATATATATATGTATACACGCATGCATATGTATACAGATAATATGTGCGCCTCCACCTAACCCGTCTCTCTCTCTCTCATCCCTCTATCGGATCATCCCAAGGCGACCCCTGGAACCCCTTTCAACTATTCCTTGGGAATCTCAAAAGCATAGGAGAGCGAGGAGGGGGGCACGAAGAGGAAGGCGAGAATGGAGAGCGAGGAGGCGGGCGAGGAGGGGAGCCCAGGGGGGGGCTGAGCGAGGAGGGAGAGCGAGGAGGAGGGCGAGGGGGGGAAGGACTGGAAAAGGGACGACGAGGGTGAGGGTGAGGAGGAAAGCACGAGGGAGAGCGAGGAGGGGAAGGACGAGGAGAGGGAGGACGCGGTGGAGGGCGAGGAGGGGAGCACGAGGAGGGCGATGAGGGAGAGCGAGGAGGAGGGCGAGAAGAAGGACGAGTAGGAGTAGAAACCAATTGCGAATGCAAGAGTGTCGAACAGCGGAAACGAGTAAAGAGACGACCCTTGCAGCTGCCGTTGAAGGTCGGGGAGGGGGAGGACGAGTTTTACTGCCCGCTGATGAGCTTTGGGGGGGGGGGGGGGGCGCCCATCATGAAAGGCCTTCTGCGGTTAGGCCTGCAAGAGAAGGAACTGGGCTTCTGAGAAGGCAGGGGGCTTCTCATCCGACGCGGAACGACATACCGTTAGGTCGGGCATGTCCTCCTACAGGCGGATTTTGAACGACAGATGAAAAGAGTCAAGAAGTATCCAAAAACGGTCAAACATTGCAAGAACAATCGTCCCCATACTACTGCTTTACACTGTTTTTGAACACTGCTCCTGTAGAGGGACGTGCCCGACTTGAACGTACCGATACTTGGGCGCCCGAATTATCCGGGGTAACTCGGGTCCGGGGTAACTCGGGTTTGGATTCCCGAAAAAGGAACCCGAGTTAGCCCTGACCCGAGTTACCCCTGATGATGTGGGGCTCTGGACGCCCGAGTTATCCGGGGTAACTCGGGTCCGGGGTAACTCGGGTTTGAATTCCCGAAAAAGGAACCCGAGTTAGCCCTGACCCGAGTTACCCCTGATGATTCGGGGCTCTGAGATACGGTGTGCTCCCCCCTGAAGACGCGGGCCAGGGCCAGCAACCGAGGGCTGCCGGCAGCGTGCTGCCACTTCTAGGCGGCACGGCCGGGCCACGACCGACCCTGCAGGACCTTCCAGCGCGCGTCGCCCCTCCGGAAGCGACGCGCACCGAGCCCCAGCGATCTTACGCGCCCTCCGGCCTTCTCGAAGAACTTCCTGGAGTGGGGGGCAGAGGGTAGGGTTCACTTCGCCTGTGGCCCCCTAGGGAGACGCCCGACCTCTTTCCAGAAGCCCCGCCCCGCCTCCTCAGAGGCCCTCCGGCCTTCCACCCTTCTCGGGGCCCCCGATCCCTTCCAAGGCGCCGTCCCCCCCCCGCCCCCTGCCGTCTGGAAGGGCCGCCCCTGGAGGACGAAGACGCTGCACAAACAAAACTCTTGCATGTCCGCGAGGAGTTCTTGCGTCTGCGCTGGGCCCCCGTCCCTGGCGCGCAGAGCGCGCCAGGGGCGGCGCTGGAGGCGCCGCCGGGGCGCTCCAGCGGAGATCCAAGGAATCCGCGCGGAGCGCCAGAACTTTCTGTTCATGCCGCTTTTGTCTTCTTTGGCCGCCCCCGTCTAAAATCCGCTCAAAACGGGCTCCCGGACCTCTCCAGGGGCCAGGCATGGCCCGCTTCCTGCGCTGAGGGGCGCCCCCCCCCCCTCCTCCAAGCCCCCCCCTGCGGCGCGGGAAGGCCCCGCCAGGGGGAGGGGCCAGCGCAGATCCAAGAAATCCGCGGTGATCTCTTTTCCTCTGCTTATGGTTCTTCTTATGCTACGCATCTGCTTATGCTTCTTCTTTTGCTCATGCTTTCCTTCTGCTTCTGCTTTTTCTCCAACAGGGCGAGGCAGCTTATGCTTCTGAAATGTTTCCTTCTTCGAAAACGGGGAGGTTGGCGAACCAACTCGTGCCGCTGCTTTCTCTGGCGCCTCCCCGCGCCAGAGGGCGCCAGTGCCTCAGGCGGGCGCCGGGGCGCCGGGGCTGGACCCGGCTGCATGCAGCAGACGCCGCACCATGTTTTTGTTCCGCGCGCGGCCCCAGGGAGGCCCCGCCCCCTGTCCCCGCGCCAGCTTCTCGCCCCAGATCCAGTTCCCATGGTCCCGGGCATCGAGGAGTGCCTCCGATTGCCCGGATCGTGGACAGGAACGCCTGGGTAGGAAGGAGGAGGAGGAGGAGGAGGAGGAGGAGGAGGAGGAGGAGGGGGAGGAGGAGGGGGGGGAGGAGGAGAGGAGGAGGAGGAGGAGGAGGAGGAGGAGAGGAGGAGGACGAGGAGGAGGAGGAGGAGGAGGAAGGAGGAGGAGGAGGAGGGGGAGGAGGAGGAGGAGGAGGGGGAGGAGGAGGAGGAGGAGAGTCGGATCGCCGGAGATCTGGGCTCTGTGCCCCCTCCCCTTTCGCCCGACCTGGGCGAGCGGGCGGGAGTGGGGCCCAGGGGCACACGAACAAATTCACAAAAATCCCAGGGTCCCTGGGTCTCCCCATGGCTCCTGGAGTCTCGCCTTCCCCCCCCCACTTCCCATCTCTCCCCATCTTTTCCTGGAGCTCGACGATTCCTTGCGTCCGTGTGTTCTGTTCTTCCCCACCCCCCGCGGCCGCCCGCCTCCCCCGCTTCCCCCCTTCCTCCGCTGGCCAACTCGCTCTTCGGTGCCCCCGTCTAGCTCCTTCGCTGGTGCAGTCAGCTCTGCCCCGCCGCCGACGGACAAGAAAAAAGTGGCTGTGTTCTTGTTCCCTCCTGCAGGAGGTATGGGGGCCACATGTGGACCTCACCCCGAACCCCCCACGATTTCTGAGCGGGGTGAGGGTCCCTTCGCTCGGGCGCTCCCGAACCTAGTGAACCCCATCCTCCCCCTCAGAAAACGTGGGGCGTTAGGGGGTAGGCTTCGCATGTGGCCCTCCAGGAGGAGCACCGCTGCCCCCCGCACCCCTCTTGAGAAGGGACCGACCGTCCTGGCATTCCCATAGTCCTACCACGAAATGTTTGTAGAATCCACAAATGTTCTAAGAACAAAAACCATGTTCTTAGAACATGCACCCGATGTGATAAAACAAGACAGACTCCGCCAAAAATGTTCCGAACCGTTCGTGGGAACCACAACAAGCTATTAGAACATTCCTTGGTGGGGCTATAGGCGAGCCAGGACGCTTCGCCACTGCTTGACTTTGGACGCCCGAAATGGGCACGGAAAGAATGGGTACAATGCCCCACAATAAATGTTGTCCCGAACGCATGGACACAGGCCGCGGCGGCGTGAACAGTGAGTCCGGTTCAAAATGAACAGGAACTGCAGTTGGGCAATTGTACCCATTCTTCCCGTGCCCATTTCGCTCGCGCAGAGTTCTGAACACTTCGTGGGAACCACGACAAGTTACCAGAACATTCTTTGGTGGGGCCGTAATCAGGCGAGCCAGGACGCTTCGCCACTGGCGCCGGCCCGAGCGAGGCGATGGCGATGGCGATGGCGATGGCGAGCCCGACGGCGATGGCGGCGGCCGGCCCGGCGCCGGCCCGCGCGAGGAGGGGGGGGCGGCGGGGGGGCCTGCCGGCGACGCCGTGGCCGGCGTCGCAGGCCGCGTCCTGCGGCGGGCGGGGGCGCCGTGGCGAGGGCGTCGGCTTCGGCAGGCGCGCGCGGGGGGGTCGGGGAGGCGCAGGAGACGCGGGGGCAGTCGGGGCGTGGACCTCAGGAGCACTGAGCAAGGAGCGAGGCCCCCTCTTTCCCGTGAGTGAAGCGTCGATGTCGGGGCGAGGACCTCAGGAGCCCTACACAAGGAGCGAGGCCCCTCTTTCCCACAAGATGGGCTTCGCTTTCCCGGAGAAGGCCTCGGGGAAACCAGAGGCAAGCTGTACCAGATCGATCGAGGCACACCGAGCCCCTCCCCAACAAAAAAGGTTCCTCCTTCAGCGCCCCGACTGTACGGGGGGGACTCGGGTTGGCCTGACGGAGCCATCCTGAAGATGACGAGAGCCCATCTGAAATTTGACGCGAATTCGCGCTGCAGACATCCCACGGAGACAGGACCGTCAAACTCCGGGACGCGCTCGTCAAAAAGCGTCGGCAAACCCGATATCTGCCTTACTCGAGTCTTACGTTTCCCCGAATCAGGGGGTCAGTGTGGCCAACTTCACGCCGGAGAGAAATACTCTGGATCTCATAACAATGGGGGGGGAGTCTGCTTCTGGGGGGGGTCTCACGGGCTTCGTCAAACACATTTTGTGGGGGGTCTCGATTTTGGACCTTTTGTTGCCTGTCTTGGGGGGGGGTCCCAGACTGGCCGTCAAACACTTTTTTGACCCCCCCCCACTATTATGATATTTGGAGTGCACATCCATCTGGCCTCCTCTCCCACCTTCGAGGTGCAACGATACGGGAGGAAACTGTCATACACCCTGCGAAATGCTTTAGAAATCATGGGTTAAGAAATTCATAGTCTCAGAATTTGAATAAAAACCCAGAATGTCCATTCAAATCTTAGGATTTACATTGAAACATTAAGAATAATCGAGACTCTGGCCGAAGACTTGGGTTTTCTTCAGCACCGCCTAGAGTGTAAGGGCGGGCGCATCGGCCCGGATTCGGCGGCACCTTGCCGACAGATCGACGATGGGCCCCCGATCGTGAATCCGCTCTTTCCTGGGCAGTTTTGGGGGTCGACGCGCACCCTTCCCTGCGCTGGCCGCGCGCACGAGGGGGTAGGGGAAGGGGAGGAGGCTCCTTAGGAGGCTGCTGCTTAAAAGGCGCCCGCCCTGCATCGATAGATCAGGCCCGCGGCTTCTTTTCAAAAAAGCAGGGGTGCCTCGAATAAGCCCTTCCCCCTCCCCCGAACCCCCCTTGTGCGCGGGGCTGAGTCAAGGACGTGAAGATGAGAGCGACGACGTAGGTAGTGACACGAAGAGGAGGCTGCTGACACAACAAGCCTCCAGATGGACCTTTCTCTGGAGGTGGTGCACAGCCATTATAAAAAAGGGCCCAGGGACACACAAACAAATAACCACAAATCCCAGGATTCTCAATATTTTCCGATACTTTCGGGGCTTTCGTCCTCCCCCCACACTTCCGATGCTTTCCCACATTTTCCTGGGGATCGACGATTCAGTGTGTCTGTGTGCTTTGTTCCCTCCTGACATCAGGCTACCTCCTGACACTCGAATTGACATAGCCTCGTCTAGAGATCCACGGCGCCACGAGTCCTTGTTGCCTCCTCCTCCTCCTCCTCCGCCTCCTCCGCCTCCTCCGCCTCCTCCTCCTCCTTCTCCTCCGTCTCCTCCTCCTCCTCCGTCTCCTCCTCCTCCTCCTCCTCCTCCTCCTCCTCCTCCTCCTCCTCCTCCTCCTCCTCCTCCTCCTCCTCCCCTGACGGGACGTGCGCCCGAGGCCGCCGCGGCGCTCGCCCGGTCCCCCTCTCCAGAGCGCCGGTGCGCAGTTGCGCCCCCGGCCAGCTGGGGTGGCCCCGGCCTTGGCGGCCTGCTGGCCTCCAGGAGCGCCGAGTACAGTCAAAAAGTGTATCGGGGATGGACAGACCTCCCTTTAGTAAAACGTGGTTTAGTAAAAACGACCTGAGGCCCAAACCTGGTGGGCGCAAGCCTGGAAAATAACGGCCACGGCGCCCTCTCGAGAACCGAAAACGGACAATTCACTAATCGACGTGTCACTGTTGGGGGTTCTGTCCACCCCCGAGTGTATTAAGGACGGGTGGTAAGGACGCAAGACCCTTGGAGGCCGAAGTTGGGTTTTTTTAGGGCGGCGGGCGACCAGTGACAATGGCAGGGACGGGCCTCAGAGGCAAGGACGCGAGGGTACCCTACGAGGCGCGCTGACTGTAGGGAACGAGAGGGGCTCTTCTGGCCACGGCGAGCCTCGGCCACGGACACGGGCCCGGGCCAGGAGCCGAGGCACGGTCCCGGAGACGGAGCCCGGCGGTCCTGAGTTCTAACTGCCTGCCAGACCACCCCAACCCAACCTCCTCCTCCTCCTCCTCCTCCTCCTCCTCCTCCTCCTCCTCCTCCTCCTCAGACCAGGATCTGAGGCACGGCCCTGAAGACAGAGCCCAATGGTCCTCAGTTCTGACAACCTACCGGACCACCCCAGCCCAACCCGAAGACCCGAATTTAGGGGTGGGGGGGGTATGGGCTCCATACGTGCTTTTTCGATGTTCCCCGACCCCGCCCCCACTGGAAATAATCGGGGCCTTCGGGTTGGGTTGGGGTGGGTTGGTGGGTCAGTGGTGAAGTTCTGCGCACTGGCAGTAAGACTGGCTTGGGGTGACTGTCACTTCGTCGCGGACTGCCGTCGCGGCCGCCGCACGAGTGGTCAGGACAGCTGCGTGCGTGCGAGGGTACGCGTGCGTCCGCTAGCGACGAATTCTGGCTGAAGACGCCTGGTGCTTGCCGGCATGATCTTGCGCACGGAGAGGTTTAGATTTGGTCGCGAGACTAAACATGTATCACATCGACCTCGTTCACTGGAAGCGACATTCGGAATTTTGGAGATACCCACGCACTTCCAAGACTCCCAGGTACACACGCAAATGCTTCCACATGCCTGTGGGAGCGACGGAACCCGCATATCGACACCAACTTAGCATAGTTGAAGACAGCAAGGTTCAATCGGTTTCAGTCTGGGGCTGCCCTGGAAAATTAGCAAGATGTTCTTGCAGTACGATGGCCCGAGAGGTAGCCGAGCAGAAATGACTTAGGACCAGGAAATGGCGCCTCAAGGAATGCCTCGAGCACCTGGCCCGTCACGTGGGCCGGGGCTGAAGCATGCAGAAAGGAGGCCGCTGTGGACGTGGCGCGGGGGTGCCAGTGGCGGAAGCCGGAGGTCCTAGACGCGGGGCAGCCGGGGTCGGCGAGCGAATCTCTGAAAACATTGAATGTTGTCTCGTCGAGTCATTCTTAACCCAATTGGCCAAATGCGGGGAACAATACAGTCTGGGAATATTGGTATTATAATCAGCGGACAACAGTTGAATGCGGACAATGCGTAATAGAATCAGCCATCACATGTTTCTGCTTCTGCATGTTTCTGCAACGGGCGACACCACACAAAAACGCTACCGCACCGACGACAATGACAACGACACATGAAAAACTACTTACAGGTACAACGACGGCGATTACTATGATGAGCGACGGCAAGGACAATGACGACACTAGCAACGTCGTGTCCATCGGTGTCGCTCTTCCCTCCGTCTCCCCATCCACTTCCGACTGGTCCTAATCATTGAACCTTGGCGCTCAATGGCAAACAACAACAGACCAAAGAACAACTAATCCGCAACCGCTTGGAAATCTAATGCACCGGGCGCCACCCCAGTTGGGGGAAAGCTTCGGGCTGCACGGGCGCACTGCGTGGCACTGGTGGGCACATTGCTCGGCATCCTGCCCGGACCACTGCTTGCCGCTTGCCTTGCGTTGCGTGGCGTTGCTGGGCGCTGTCTGCGCGGCCCTGCCTGGCACCGCGTGGCGAGGCGGCCAGGAACCAAGACCAGAGCACCAGGGCGCCAACACCGGCTTGGGCACCTCTTCTATAGAGGGAGCCGGGGACGCGAGGACCCTCGAGGACCCCAGGAGCCAGTTGGGGGGCCGCGTGCGAAGCCCACCCCTACCCCCCACGCTTTCTGAGGGGGCGGGCGGGGCTCGCTTCGCTCGGGAGCTCCCGAGCGAAGTGCACCCCACCCTCCTCCTCAGAAATCGTGGGGGGTAAGGGTGGGCTTCGCGCGTGGCCCCCTACCAGCACCGAGCTGGGCACCTCTACAGAGGGAGCCGAGGACCCCGAGGGCCCTCGGGGACCCCAGGAGCCGCGGCGTGGCAGCGCAGGAGCCGAGCCCCGCGAACCCGATGACTGCCCGCTGGCCAGGCCCCGCACCCGCCGATCCTCTCTGGCGGCGCGCACGAGGGGGGAGGGGCTTCTTAGAAGGAGGGGGGAGGGGGTGCCAAGGGAGGGGGGAGGGGCTTCTCAGGAGGCTGCTTCTTAGAGGGCGCCAGCCTCACATCCAGAGGTAAGGCCCGCGCCTCCTGAGAAGCGGGGGTGCTTCTGAGGTGCCCTCGCCCCTCCCCCCCCCCCCCCTGCGTGTGGCCGGTCCCTCCACGAGCTTCGCAAGCAGACGAGAGCAACTTGGGCACAGCCTGACTGAACGGCCCAGGGACGTGCCAGGATTGCCGCTCTTCTTCCACATCTTCTGGGCTTTCGTCTTGACCCCCGGTTCCCATCTTTTCGGCTAGGCGTAAGAGTGACCCTGGGTAAGAGTGACCTTTGGTGCGCAGCTTCTGGGGGCGCGAGGGAGCCAATCCCAAGGGCGCGGGCCGCTTAAATCGCATCGCGCTCGGCGATCGGGGGGAGCCCGATGAGCCCGCACCAAAGGTCACTCCGGCGAAAGGTCACTCTTACGTGTAGTCGATCTCTCTCCATACTCCACAGTGCCCGGCGTGCAGTCCTCGCCCCAGCGGGGGCGCCGAGCACGGAGAGAGAGAGAGAGAGAGAGAGAGAGAGAGAGAGAGAGAGAGCAACTGCCCTTGCCACGGCGGGCCTCGGCCTCGAACAAGCCTCTCGGGCCTGGACCTCGGGGACGGCCCGAGAGCTGGTCCTTACGGTGGGAGCTCGACCACAGGGAACCTTCCACAAGAAACCCGACCCTGAGACCCCAGGACGTCCACTGGTGCTTGGTGTGGGAGCGTCGCGCTTTCCACAGCAAAACCATCGAAACCCAGGAAACCCAGGGCACACTGGAGGCAAGCGGGGGTGTTTCCTGGCATGGGTTTCCACTGTACTTCAGCGTCGTGGCCCCACGGCTGTGCAGTTCAGATCGGCCGCGCGAGCGAGGGGGGAAGCGAGAGGGGGCAGGCCTTCTCAGACGACGGCGGGTGTTTTCAGAAGCCCTCCGACCTCCCGAGACGCCACGAGCCACGAGGAAACGCCGAGATGAGGACCAGCTTGGGCTCAGGGAGGGGCTCTGGCCTCCGGGCCGCCTTCGCCCCTCCGGGGCGAGGGCACCCGTCCGCGGCCGAGGCTCGCCGTGGCCAGAAGAGCCACTTCCTCGGCGCCCCCTGTGGTAGCATGGGGGGCCGTGACTCTGTGGCCCTTCCCCGAAAAAGGGCTGAAGCCTCAGGTAGGGCAGGTCCTGCAGGCGGATTTTGGACGACACATGACAAATGGTCAAAGAATACTCAACACATGCTAAACACTCCTGAAACGAAGTCGTCCCCTGACTATTGTTTTACTATTTTTGATATTCAACCTGCTGAGTGACATGCCCGACTGAAGAGAAAACCCAGAAAGCTCCTCAAAGGCCAGAGGCCTTCTGAGAGCCTCCTTTCCCCCCAACTTGGCGCACCAGCGAGTCCGTATAGTTCAGCGTCTTGGCTATACAAGACTGTGCGCTCGTCGTGCTCCCTCCGCGGACCTCTCCCAGGGTGCGTCTCCCGACGAGAACCTCGAGGAAGACCCAGCCCTGGCGTTACGTTGCTCCCATCGCACTCGAGGACCACATCTCAGACATAATGTCGAGCACCCAGAAAACTACCGATACCGTGTCGGACGAGTCTCGCCTCCAAGGCCCGACACGCGAGCGCCCGCCGGTTTCGGTACTTCTTGGGGCTCGAAATTCTTTCTGCTGGCCAAGGCGAAAGTAGGTTGGAGCGTCACAACCCTGGCGACGGGAGGGCTCTCAAGGACGAGCCGCGGCATCGGTATACCCCTCCCCCCCTGAACTTCAGCGCCTCGGCCGCACGTCCTCCGTTCAGGCCCTCCAGGGGAACGACACAACTGACATGAGCACCAACTTTTGGAGGTCCGCGCGGATTTCCGGGGATCGGCGCGGGACCCCGCTCTCTGGCGCGCGGGGCGCGCCATGGGGGGCCCCAGCGCAGATCCAAGAGTTCCGCGCAGAGCGTCGCAAGCTTGTTTGTCATGGAAGCCGAGCCACCACCACCGCCAACACTCCGTTCCCAGAGGCCCCCCCCAGAGCTGGTGGTGCTTTTTCTCTAGGCACCACCTGTGGGGTGCCACCAGCTCGGGGGGAGGAACGGCCACCCCCTAGCCGATGGTGGTGGTTCCTTCTTCTCTGGTGACTTATGCGTCCTTGTTGTTCATCGAGCCTCCATCGAGGACGCACCGACCTGGGTCCATGCAAACCCTGGTCAATCAGGCCTTGCAGCAGGGTCCTGCGCGCTGCTTGGCGGCGCGCACAAGGGGGTTGGGGGGAGTGGTGGAAGTTTCTGAAGAGGCGCAGGGTTCTTAGAAGGCGCAGGCCCTTACATCTACAGACAAGGCCCGCGCCTTCTAAGAAACTGGGGTCCTTCGAAGAAGCCTTTCCCCCTCCTCTTAATTAACGCCCGGAGCTCTAAACCCCATCTTTCTATTATTTTTCGAGCCGGATCGATCTGCGAGGGTCCCGGGGCCCGACAAAAAGGCGAAAACGCTGGGCTCGAACAATTCGAATACGCCAGGATCTCAGGGCCTGCGCGTGGCTTATCCTTGAGCAGGGACATACCGCCCCAGCATTCCTATAGACCCACCAAGATATGTTGTTCGGCCTCGATAAGTTCCAAGAATAACAGCACTACTCTTATAACATAAACCCGAAGGTTAAAACATGACGGTCTCAGCCTGAACAGTTCTAACAACATTTCGTAGAAACCGCAAGCGGTTCTTGGAACACTGTTTCGGAAGCCTATAGGCGCACCAGGACGCCCCGCCACTGCTTGACTTTGGGGTCGATGCGCCGCCCCCCCCCCCGTGCCTGCAGTGGAAGCCAGTCCACAAGAAACCTTCAACAAGAAACCCAACCATGAGACCCCAGGACTTCCATCGACTTTTGGTGTGGGCACGTCGCACTTTCCACAGCGAAGCCATCGAAATCCAAGACACCCAGAGCACCCTGGAGGCGAGCAGGGTGTTTCTTGGCATGGGCCTCCACTGTAACCCCCCCTGGCGGGCTGCGCCTGAATGGAACCACTTGTTCCCAGGGCCCCCTCCGCGCCACGGCGAGGGGCAGACTGCCCTCGGGCAGCCACGTGGCGGCGGGGGCGCGTGCTGCCCGACCCTCCCCCCCTGGGAGGGGGCCCAGCAGACGTGTCCACGGCCTCTGGAGGAGAGGCACCGACGCCTCCTGCTCGAGATC